TGAGTTTTTCTGATTTAAATTTGAGGGGCAATGCTGCAAGACTGTTGCGGGACGTATAGAAACGATCGCGTGGAGTCGGTTAGAGTGGATGCGAGTTGATGCGTCTTCAAGAAGCAGTTTCGCAGTTTCTTTGTTCTTATAATGTAGTTTTACATCCACTGTGTTATTGGCACAATTCTGACTGTGAAGTTTAAATGAGAGCAAAGCAGTTCGGTGCAGCGACACCAGAATAACTACAAAGAACAGAGAAGCAGCAGCAGCAGGAGGAGGCGGAGGAGCTTCTTTTTTTTTTTTTTTTTTTGAGTGCTGAAGTGATTTTTGGATCCCCGTGTTGCCATGGAGACGTGTTTTCCTGCTCTAGTGTCGCACTACGCTACACACACTCAGAGTCGACTTTTATCTGCAGCGTTATCAGGTGTGAGGTATGAGCGGAGGTGACGGTATGCCATTGGAGGCCTGAAGTAGGAGGCTGAAGTTTCACTCTTATAATGTCACACGCATGATGATGAAGCATGTTTTCTTATAACTCTATGAGGGAAATCTCTGACAAACACGACCCAGTCAGTACTTTATCTCATTAATGCAAAAAATCCTGTAAATCCAATATCGCCGTAAAGCATTCCTGCGTATTGATTCCCAATGCTGACCGCAATGACCTCATGCAAGCTGAGATATTAATGGCATGGATGGCCGTATCGCCTCACCGAGTCGGTCTGTTCGTTGTGTTTTTAGCGCAGCGACGTTGGTCTTTAACGAGCTGCTCTTTAGACGGTGAAGCAAAACTCTTGGACTCGACAAAAACAGTTTGCGTCAGTGTTTTTTGAGTTTATGACAACTTCTGATGAAATGATGTTCAACCAACGAACCAAATTAGGGGAATCAGTCTTTCCTCTTCAATCAATGGAATCGTTATAATTAGTCTTTGAAATCCCGAATTCAAGATCATCAAGTCAATTTACTGCAACTTGAATTTTATTTTAGATGAATTAACGCAGACATTTGAGTTTTAATTACACACAGTTTTAAGTTGGTGTAACGACTGCCATTATTATGTCAGCAAAACTTACAATATTTGCAACTTAAATGGTTTTCTACAGCTGAATTATTGCGCATAAATGGAAGGAATAGGTCTCCTACATCACATAAAAATTACCCATCTTCCCTAGAAGCAGCCACAGAAGCAGATTATTAAGATTTGATAATATATGCGTTTATTTACAATATATTTACAAGTCTAATTTAGCATCTGAGCTTCAAAGAAACAGATCTATGGAAAGAAAATGGCATGACTGAAATGAAAACACAACATCTGACCTAAACAGGAGAGAATAAAGCCAAAAGAAATGGATGTACGCCTCTACAAACCTTTAAAGGCAGGAGTTTGTTAGCTTCGTCTTACCTGCAAATTTAGTTAAACAAGTTGGATTAAAGTTTGCATCTGGGATGTAAACAATGATGCAAGAGTAACATCAAAGAAAACATTTTTATGGACGCATGAGAAAAACTATTGGAGCCTTCGTCTTGTTTTTGTGATTTGCATATATCATAATAGTGTTTTACAATTATTGGGGGGGAAAAATCTAACATTTATCCAATAACTGTCTCTGATAATGAAGTCTTTGTCTGTTTAAGACAGAAATAGAAATCCTAGCGACAAAAGGCCTCTTCTGTTTTTTCTTGGGCAGTTTTCTTGTTAATTTAATTGTACTTTAAGGTCCAGAGCGAGGCTGTTGGTCTCAGATGTGAGCACTGCATGTTGTCAACAGCGCGCTTCATGGTTGTCCGATGTGTTCTTCTTCTTCCAGAATGGCTTCACTCCGCTGTACATGGCGGCGCAGGAGAATCACCTGGACGTGGTGCAGTTCTTATTGGACAACGGCTCCAGTCAAAGCATCGCCACTGAGGTGAATAAACCCACAGAGACGGACACTGCATATACGCCTGTTTGCACACACAGACACTTGCGAGGCTAATAGCTACCCTTTGTCTCAGCCCTCATTTAGCCTCCCTGCAATTACACTGCGACGCTGTGACCGGCGGTTTGTTTGCTGCTCATGGTAAATAGGTGGCTGCCACCGGTGGCTCATTAAGGAGACAGGCCATGTAACATATGAAGTCGGTGTTTACAGAGGGTAGAAACTAATTATTTTTATAGATTAGTCTGTTGCCTGGACGAAGAGACGAAGTGATTAAAGTGAACGAAGCAGCAGCAGCAGCAGTGTGACGATGTGTTCGCTCAGAGTGACCTTGGTCGTCTTAAGCTTCCTACTGAGGGAGGGACTAGTGACGTTACAGGAGTCTGACAGCTGTGAGCGAACGCTTCAATTTGAGTCTGTCACAGCGATCAGTCCTCTGCAGCAGGATGGCAGACAGCAGCCGCCACCCCTGCAAGGCTAAAGTCTGGCAACACAAACTGTTTTTGGTCAAAACTCTTGATTTCTGCTCTGTTCAGATTGATTCTTAAATGCTACTGGGTTCTGTTGTGTAGTATGTTGTTAGCAGGACATCAAAAAACATGTGCTGGCAAGAAAAGATCATTGCTAGGGTTTATCTACTGGAGAGGCACCATGACGAAGTCTTCTCCAACGTCGGACCTCCAACCAACTTCTCTGCTGTTATGCTTGGTTCTGTTGTGTATTGTGTAGTTAGTAGGACATCAAGAAACAACACTGTAGTGGCCACAAGACACAATGAGTTGGCAACGAAAGATCATTATCTGGGTTTATCTAGTAGAGAGGCACCATGATGAAGTCTTCTGTGATGTTTCATGACCTCTGACCAACTTTTCTGCTGTTATACTTGGTTCTGTCGTGTAGTTTGTAGTCAGTAACACGTCAGATAACAATAGTGTAGTAACCAACAGTGTAGGTCAGTTCAATGTTGGCAAACAGTTGGGTTAGCTAGTAAAGGGGCACCATA